TGAAGCTGCTGCCCCCCTCCTGGCCTCAGTGTTGGTACCCTGTGACCCTGGGCTGCTCTTGCACTCAAGCCCATTGCACCCATGTCCCACTCCCAGCAGCAGTCCGTGGCCCCCCTGTCTCCCCAGCATCTCTCTGGTGCAGTCCATTTGCCTGGGACTGCTGGGACTGCTCTGCTCCTGAACTATTCCTGCACCCAGAAAACAAAAAATCCTGACAACTCCCAGGCGGACAGGAGGGAAAAAATGAAAATTCCACTCAGGAGGCGCCCTGGGATGGATGGGGATCCAGGAGCCATGAGCTGTGATGCAGCAGAGGTGACTAACACAAAACCGTTGGACCCTGTACAGCACCAACACCACATTTCTGATCTGTGAACTACCTAAAATGATCAAGACGCATAAAACTCAGTTTGAGGGGCAACTGGGTCTCTCTCTCCCACTGCAAAAAAACGCCACCCCTAAGAACATATCAAATTAAACATTAGAAATTGAGAATTAATTGCTCTTCACTAATTGAGTGGCATCTTCTGGAAAAGATAGGAACTGCAGCAGCACCAAGAACAATTCAAAGTGATTGTATCACTTTACGCGAAAAGCAACTTGCTTTTTTGTTTCGTACTTCTGTAGTTTGCAGTTTACAAATAATTTAAATTGTTTTACTGTTAGACCAAATTAATTGTCTTACCTTATCTTTCTGTTCCACTGTTTGCTTATTCTGCATACCACATTTTGTAATAATTTACAGACAGCAGAATAACATTTCTGGTGTTTGACAAACTCTAACCATCAAATGTTTATTAATTTATTTAACCAAATTCTGAGACTGAGTGAGACATACAGAATACATTTCAAGAAAGAAATATTGTTGTAGAAGTGTATGAAAAAAATCACACTTACAGAATAAAATGGCTTTCAATGGAATAAATCGTAGACATGTCTGGGAATACTGTTATCCCCGTGTTACAGATACTCCTGCAAAAACAAAACACTGGAAAACTTAGAAAAATGTGACATTGTGTAATTGTAAATCTATAAGAAGAGCTTCTACAATATAATAAATTGAAGTTTAATTTGTGTTCCAGTTTGAGATTGATAAATCTTTGATACAATTTGTGTGTTGATCATCATCACCCCTTAGATAAACAATCACATGATTTCCAAATGAAGACTGCTCCCTGCTTCAGTGCTGCTGGTAAACTCACAGTGTATCTGTACCTATCTATGGGTGTTTCTTATTGACAGAGTGTTTCACCTTATTTGGGTGTGATTCTCTATTTTCAGGTGTAACTAGTGGGATAGTGCTGGTGATCCCTTGACTTACCATTGTAGCTGTGCTTTTTCTAATTTATAACAGTAGTATTAGTTGCATACTAGACAGCTTCTACCCTGACTGAAGGTAATACATGCTGGATAAAGAAACATCCAAGACCAACATTATGCAGGACAGTGTATGTCCTTTGCTTTCAGAATCACCCCATTTTCCTGCCAGTATTTTAACAGAAAAAGCCTTGCAGAAACTTTGCAGAATTATGTATTTCCAGGGCTTTAGAAATTGCCCTATATTTCCTTGGAGTTGTTACAGTGGATTCCCTGGGGTAACATTCTGGAATGAGCCTTTGCTTTCACAAATGGTGTATCACCTCAAACTATTCATCAATTATTTATTTAGTATTGGGATGTCTAATTCTAATGTTGAGAATTTCCAGGTTTTTTATATTACAATAAAAATTTGAACCTATATTTCAAAAACACCCTTATTTCATTTTTCCGGCACAACACAAAAATTTGTTTTTTTGTTAGAGGTTAGGTTGCTCGTGCAAAAACTATGACTATGGGTAGGTTGGATATACAATTTGTCGATCTGTCCTGACATTTGTATCTGTGTCTTTAAGGATCTAAAAAAGCATCCCAGAAATCACAGAACAACCAAATGATTAAGAATGAGCATACGAGGGGAGAAAATGAAGTATTTAAGGTCTTTGTGGAAAATGGTGCATTTGCAAATCTCTGAAAAAGTATATTCATATAGTGAATTCAGAGAAATGTCTTCTATGCCAGTATTTGAGACAAAAATAAACAAGTATTCAAAAAAATCTAAAACATTCTCACAGGTATCTTAGCTTCGGAAGATTGCTGAATGCACGTCTGCCAATGTTCACTAGGCTTTTGGTATTCTGAATAGAGCTATTGAGAAAAGAGGATACACAGTTATTTAAAGAAGGGGTTAACAACGTGATCCACATGTATATTTCCACTAAAGTGCAAAACAATACATATGCAGCAATAACAATATATTTGTACTGATTACAAATCTGAAAATTAAAAAAATGTTAAAACTTTTAAATGCTAGTCTTGGATCCAATTTCCAGTTAATTTCCATGCGACTGCAGAACACTTTTGCCTGTAGACTGGATAGAATATTGAGATGTTGTATAGATAGATACTTTATTGATCCCGTGAGGGAAATTTCAGTGCCACAGGAGCTTAACACAGTCAACACAGCACAGTGTAACTAAATAATACAACACTACAGTATCATAGAATAATACAGTATGCTTTCCAGGAACAGATTAGAAGTAGTTTATTTGACTTGATTTGATTATCTCTGGAGCAGCTGTAATAGGCAGGTGGTACATGGTTTCCTCTGTTATTGAAGTTAAAGTACACATTTTCCAGGCCATATCACATTTCAGTGAGAAGTTGCTGATGAGAGAAAATCCTGGTTAAATTAATTTGTGTGCCTTGAACTGGTGCAAATTAGAAGTCTGCAGGTCGCAGTGACATTTGTCAGCTATAAACTGCAAAGGCAATCACTGCATTAGCAGTTTTTTAGGCCAAGCTCTGAGCAATATTTTCACACCAGACTGAAGAAAGACATTTTGCTCTTTTTAAGTTTTCATTGTATACACAAATATTCACTTCATTTAAATGTAATGTTTATTTTGAATTTAAATTCAAATAAAAATGTAACTATTTTTCCTGGCTATTTTGTAGTATGTATTTTATTAATACAAATGTTTTGCTTGGAAAAGCTTCACAGAATCTTTTCCAATGTTATACCTGAGAATGTATTTGAGATTCAAATTGTTATGCTACTCTTTAGACAGAATGAGTCCTATTTTTGCTTAGAGTCATACATTATCAGAGTATTAAGTACACAGTATCTGAGTATAACAGCATAGTTAAGAATATGAGAATACAAATACAGGAAACTCATTTGTGCAGTTGTAGGAGTCTATAACAAACTTTCCAGTCAGTTGTTGAAGCTGATTCCTTTGAATAAGTCAGGAATATGGTGTAACTGAATCAGTTAAGTTATTGGGAATCAGCTAATGGCTTCTTCTTGTAACTTTGCTTATGTTTTTACAATTTCATAATAAAACATGCCCACATCTCTTGTGGAAATAACAGAACCCGACACAGGGATAATGGGTATTATCTCTATCAAGTGCAATCCAACTTACATTTCAGAAAGGTTGTGCAGGTTATTGAAAGCCAGAGCTTCTATTCTTTCAAGAAAGACACTTTGAGAAATTTCACTGAAATCGCATGGAAAGAGAAAGTTAATTCATTTCAAGACGATCAATATTTACTCCAGAATGACTTTCTAGATCCCTCTCATTCTTCCTTTATTCATAGTTTTTTTTTTACGATTCCTCTCTTAATATTATTTGTTTATAATTATTATCCTGCAATAAGGAGAAGTGAAAATATTTTCCCAGAACTTGTGTACTGGTGACTTCCCATCCTCAGTTGTCCTAACAAACAACAAATAAGTGTCTAAAAAATAATGACCTGTAAAATTCCTGAAATCCACATCTTATCATGAAAGCATCTTTGAGGTAAATATTAATATAGCCATTAAAAGTAGGTGGTTTTCTTAATAAACCGATACAGGAGTATAAAAGGAAGATTGATGTAATAAAGCCTAAATTTATTCCAATTTAATACATTGGATAAATTCCCAATCCTGTTCCTAGAGACTCTCAAACTTGCTGGTTTTCATTTCAGCCAAGATTGACTACTTCATTCAAGCCGTAATTGAGCTAATATGTTGCTTTATTGGAACATTTGCAAGTTTTTTTTTTCCTATTCAGTGTTTGGACTTTTAAGTTTCTTATGAAATGCGCTAGTTACAATTCAATTAGCAAAATGTCCTCAGAGTTCAAAAGAAACAGTTCAAATGAATCCTATTATGAAGTCAATTGAGGGTTCAGACTGGAAGAAAAACCAGCAGGTACAGTATGTGGGCCTCGAGACCAGGACTGGGAACCCCTGATCACTGCATGTAAAAGGAGTGTGCAGACCTGTTATTTAAATGCATAAAAAACCTTTTTAAAAATGTCACTCTTTTGATGATTTCATGGACTTAAATTTTCCCACTGATGTCTTTAGACTTAAAAATCCCCTTAAATGGGATTGTCACTGGGCTTATCACTTACTAGGAGAATAGTACTTAATGTTTTTCATTAACTGGGGAGATTATATACAGCCTCTCTTATGATTAATTCAAGTCTGAGGTTTAAAGAACAAAACTCGTCCTCTGAACAGAGTTATTAAAGTGATTCAAAATCTACACACAGTCTACAGCTGCAAAAACAAGCAGAAGAAGAACAACATCTATTGTTGCTTCAAGTAAAAAAATGCTTTTTTTCTGTATTCTGAAAAATGTATTTCATAAGGACATCACATTCTCTATCCCTGCAACTGGGATCAAGTTGTATGTGTTAATGGAACTGCCTAGCACCTGAGCACCTCTCTTACTGTTTATGAGTGACACATGAGTCACCTTTTCCTGATCTTTAACAGGTCTTACCAACAAACCACTGCCAGTTCAGACTAACCATGGAAGCAAAACCATTGAGTAAAAGCACATTTCTTGCGATGCGTTTTAATGAAATCAACACAAGGTCCAGTGTATTTTTTTTTTCAAATATAAATTATTATTCAATTCCATTAATTTCAGAATGTAATTGATGTTGTTTTTATCCTTTATTCAGAAACGAATCATCCCCCCTCCACAGTAACCCTCTGGCAAATTGTTCTGAACACAGGCTTTGTGAGAAATTGCTCCAGTGCTGTGACAGTGTGAGAGAAGATATCTTAAACAGAATCTGGTTTTTGATGCTTTAGTGCCATTGCATTAAAAATAGAAATATATATAAAGAGGACATTTGTGCTCCGTACTACACAAATCTGAACTTTCACATTTAATTAAACCGATTAAAATATCAACGTGCCTTCATTTACATCTTTTTGCCACACAGTATTCCATTTCAACCAGGTTTTAATTAAACAGTAACCTAGTTTTCATTTCTAATAAAAGCCTGTGGTCTGTGGTACAAGACTCACTGTTTCACTTGTTTAAGTAGTTTACTAAAGACAGTAAGATTAACTCTTACTGAGTAACCACTCCTTGCATCCTTGATGAAGAGGGATTTGTAATGACATAATGACAATATTATGCTCAGAATAATAACAAAATATTTAGTTTACATTGCAATGTCTTTTTTTTCAAAATTTATTCAGAAAAGTATTCCATTAATTTCAGAATGTAATTGTAATTTCAGAATGTACAGTAATGCTGAAATGATCCAATCCACACAATTTATTAAATGGCAGAGGAGTAACAGATAAGATAAGAACAGATAAATTCTACAACATGTAGTGACTTCCCACCTCTTACGGCTTTACGGGTTTAAAAAACAATCATAAATTTGTGTGCTTCATACCACAGAAATTTTAATATAAAAGACATGCATCCTTTTTGGTGACAATCAGCATAAAAATGTCTTGTTTCAGAAAACAACATCATAATTGTTGTACTGTAGCTGCTGCTCGAGCCCTTATGAAATAGTTTGTGCTTAACATATCTCCAAGATTGCTGGCAGTCTTTGTCCTTGAATTTATCTTCAGGAACTTAGAAGAATGGAGATTTCTTATGCTGGCTCAGTATGGGAACATTTTTTCCTTCACTGCTGCACACCAGCGACACTGCGTTATAAAATATTAGGTTGTTGATTATGTTATCAAATTAACAGAGAGGTATGAGAGGTGTGAGAGTTAATATTCTGTGTTTCAGTATACATTGTGAATTTTGCTTTCAAAGGAAATCATTAAAATTTTGCCAGATAAAAAACAGGCACTACTGTATCACTATTAACACAATAATCCATGTAGACAGCATTTTAGCTGATCCTCAGTTGAATTTCTGAATAATTGTTCAAAAATGTTTTCTACTTTTTCACCTCCATCTCACAGCACTGTCCTACCTAACAGCATTCAATGAACTCCAGCTTCATACACACCCCTTGGCTGGGGATGATTATTAGATGGAAGGGGAACAGTGTGAAATACTGTGGAAGCACAAGGACATGTTTTCCATGCTCATTTCAGGCATGACAGCTGCAAGTACCTGCTAAACCTCCAGCATAAACAGAATGTTAAAAAACACAACACAAGCTGAGTTTAAAGACAAAGAGTTTGCCCAGGCTGCTCACATTTCCATCACACACTACACGCACAGAAAGCATGTCTGGGGATACTTACATTCGTAGGACATTCACTAATCCCTCAAATGAGTGGCTGGTGATGGTTTTTATAGACAGGTGGGTAAGTGTTCTGGGGGAAAAAAAAAGAGATTCGTTTTTCAGAAAACATTTATTTTTCAAAAACACTGATGTTACTAATTACTTGATTGACATAATTAATTGAATAAAAATGGCGTCACCTGCCCTTTTATAAATCTTAATCAGTTGCTGATTGAAAGGTACCTCTTAAATCCACAGGATTCACATCCCTCGAAGATTGGAGAAACCCAGAAGTCCACAGAGGGACAGCTGTACCCCCAAGACAATCATCTAATATTTATTTTAACCACAGCTCTACATTATCTTTATTGTCATGGAATTTCAACAGTACACTGAATTTCTCAGTAGAATCAGCCTGTAAGAGATGGAAACTCACTTTGTATCCAAGGAAACATACTCTTAATAATATTAAGGTGTAATCTGACATCTTCTGGTATAATATTTTGACTAATACAGAATTTTTCATCCAATCAATATAATTTTTAATTAAGTAAAGTTTGAGACAACCATAAGAGGTGAGTTGAATTAATGGATCGTCCAGTGTTGGGGTTACAGTCTTCTTAAAGTTTGAGTTTTTCACAAAGTAAAACCTGTGTTTGGAGTAGAACCACTTTGGTCTTACTTTGACATAATTTGTAAAGGCATGTATTTGGTACAGAATTAGAATTAAGCCCTTCAAGAGTCAGAACTTTAAATTTCATCCATGGCAACATTTGAAGCTATTATGAATCTAGACATGACCCAGTCTTACTTTATATGTTTTAAACACAATCATAACACCAATTAAAGTCAATGTTTAATTATAACTCTTGCACCAACTAAAACTCATCTGTCATAGTTGTGTAATTATTCTTTACCACATAAAAAAAACATTTGATGGTAAGTGGAAGTTTAGAAAGAGTGCTGTTGCCACAGATATCCAACAGTTTCAGATTGGACGGTTCATTTACTTCTGCATTTTTCTTGCGCCTTCTAATGTTGACTTTAGTGCTATAATTTCAGTGTTCAATGTGTTTATACTCTGTCTGTCACGGTCGTCATCACTCCTCTAGAGGGTGCTCCCACCTTTCTTTTATAATTTACTTTCATTAGGTGCACTTGTCCCTTGTTCCCCTCTTATTATTTATCTCCGTGGTTCCTCTGGAAGACCCCTGGAAGCCCCCCTATCACCGGGTCCAGGAGTGGCCCGAGGGCAGAGGTTTCAGCACGGCCTCCTGACCTCTGGGTCCGGGGCTCAGGGCGCCTAGCTTTGTTATGCTTTTAATCCAGTTTCCTCCTCCCTGGTTTTTAATTGTTCGTCTCGGATGGATCTCCTGGCTTTTGCATTACGGACTGTGACCCAGCAACTCTATTGGACCTCCTCTGGGCTCCGTCACCTGCGCTCCCCCCATGTACTGGATCCCCAGTCACCGCCCCCTGTCTGTCATCCCAACCTTCACTCGCCGTGCCTTCCCTGACGTCATTCTCCAGACACTCCCGGATGATACCGTCTCGCCTGGGGTCTTTACAAACACATTTCACAGGAGTGGGATTCGCTCCCGTGACACTGTCATATGCATTGTACCTGTTACTTGTCACAGCATACCACACGGCCTTGTGAGACAGATTCATTATCATTGTCAGTCAGTTGTGCTTTTTACTTATTTTCTTCCACTACTATAGAGTCCATGGAAAGACAACCCTGGGCAGCCACTGTCTTCATGCACATGCTATGAGTGTTGCAGCTACATTGAAGGACAATTTCTTCAATGTCTATACAATAGATATGTCTATTAATTTACGAAAACATATATTTAATACAAGACATATGATGGGTGTTTTGTTGCTTTTCTTTTGCTGTCTTCACCTGTTTACCCTTTTCCTTTTAATATAGCATTAAATTCTCTGAATCAGATCTCCTGAATGGGAAAACTAGGGGAGCTTATTAATGGCTTAAACAGAGAGAGGAAAACACATGTCATCATTGGCATAAGGTACAGCATAACCCAGAAGTCCACAGATGAACAGCTGCCCCCCCAAGATGCCTAATAAAACAGGCAGCATAATTGGACAGCTACTTGGCTGCACACAATACACGCTCTGACTAAAAAGATTCGTGCAGTGTAACAGCATGGGGTGAGATACATATTACCTTGAACCATCCAGTAAATGGAAATTTAGCATCACTGATACTGAACTTTTGTAATACTGTAATTACACTGAGCAATAATAAGATGATTGCCAACTGCCAAATAAAAAGCATTAGGAAATGCAACTCTCTACAACAGACATAGCAAAAACATACATTAGGTACTTTGTTAAAATGAATACCTTAATGTGTAATGAGGTCTACAACACCTCATATACTGTATTCCAATAAATTGAAGTAATGAGTATTTTATTACCAGGGTATACATTTAAATGGTGCGTCAGATTACATAACTTCTGTGGTTGTTTCTGATTTTTTAAATTTCATTAACTGTTACACATTTAGTTTTAAATCACATGGTTTGATATATTCTGGAATTGTTATAGTCGGAAAGATATTCTACTGTTGAGGTTAAGAAAATATAAGTATTTTCCTTTAAATTAGTACTGTAGAAATACAAAAGGTTGCTACTGTACATGATAGAATCATGCCTTTTACTTCATGCTAACCACTGCACCACTGTACAAATGTTTGCCAAAAGATAAAGTACAACACTGTGGGAAGTATGAATAATGTGGTTTGGTGTAGTGTAGTGGAACATGTTCTCTTCTAGGTGCCGCCAAAGACGATGCAATTGAAAATAAAACAATAACTATTTGCATTTATATATATCGAGTAGAAGAAGTAATAAATTATTCAGTATTTTAAACAAGGCACATTATAACAGCTGTAAAAAAACACAAAATCCAGAGGGGGAAACTATATCAAACGTAGACTACAGCAAGCTGCTCTCCAGTCTTTCCAACGATAAATCCCAAATCAATTAGAAAGGCAATATTATGCAGAAGATGCGCAATCTGAGAGGAACGCGCTTTTTTATGTCTATTTTCAGATCTTCCAGGCCGAGGGGTGACATAGTCGAGTTAGTCAAACCTAGCAGTTTCAAAAGACATCTAAGTATATTTTTCAACTACAGAATACTCAGTCTACATCACTGGATTGATTTGGTAATCTGTTGCACTGAGCCCTCTTCACAAACAGCATTCATTTCAACACTAAAATGACTGAGTGTAGACTATTATTCCACAAATGTTTTCAACATATTTTTGTTCTTGTTCCTGCTTCTTCTTCTACATGATTTTAGTATATTAAAATCTGCAAATGCATACTGTACATATTTAAAAAGTTACATCATACAGGAAAGGGAATAGATGCACACAATTCCATAGTGCAGACAGTGCATACAAAATTGAGCAAGGCTACTTAACACACGTTGCCATCACCACATTACAATCACACATACGAGTATACTGTACACCTGCTATTGCGCGATAGGTTATTTACAGTACGTATTTCACGAGTTCAACAAACAAGCAGAATATTTAACACTTACATTCTCCTGCACTTGTCTTTTCTGGAAGCTGAAAATAGCCATTCTGTCTCATTATTGCATCTGATAATCCCGTCAGAACAATGACAAATCTCCGGACACACGAAATTAAAAAGAGAGATAGAGTAACGTGTACTCAAGAGGAGAGGAAAAATCATACATACAAGCGACAGTTTCATTGTCGTTGTTATGTCTAAAAGCGAACCAAAACTGATTTGATTACTCCTTACAAATGCTAGAGAAATATACCTCAGGCGGCAGCTGAAAGTGAAAAAGTAATCTTTCGGAGTGCTGTGTTCGTCACTGGCAGATCAGCTCCTTGAAAGCTCCAAGTATCTTTATTAGTGTTCAATTATCCATCTAACTCCGGCGAAACGTTCTACTAAACTATTCTGTGCGGCACGACCGCGTTCATAAAAGTCTGTATATGGTTCATATTTTATGTAGAATATGATTTGTTCCTGAACTGACAGAATTGCAAACTTTCCCTGAGCTTCCGAGAGCTGTGAAGAAATATTGTTATGCAAAAGCCAAGCAAACAAAAGTAGATTATTGCCTTAGATGTCTGACATTTCTAAATGAAAGTAGACCGTAGGAAGCCACATTCTAACGTGTAAAATATGGATTATACAACATACTGCAGTCACATAATCTTGTTAGAGAAACGTTCAAGATATTGGAAGAGCCCCAAGTTTTGTACTCTTGACTAAGGTATCGGCTGCTCAGGGGTCACATAACCTCATCTCAGTCTGATGAGCCACTAAGCTCCAGTATAGACCTCCTAAAGTTATAGTGGCTCTATTACAAACAGATATAGCTCGACAGAACTGGTCCACAGATTGCAACAGGACTGCCTAAGGTTAGATGCCCTTATAATTCTGCCCTCGTCTTCTCCTTCTCCAGTCTTTTTCTCCATAAAAAAAGGTGTTCTATTGGAAACATAATGTTTATACAGATTATATCTGAGAGTGAAGCCATCAACATGCTTTGCAGGTTTAAGTATCGGGACAACATTAACAGTCTCATCCAGAGAAAAAAGAGTACTTTAATGCCAATTACTTTACTGTTAGTTAAGACTTGTATCAATGTCCTTACCTACCATGTAATTACATAAACAGACCCACAAATGTAAAAATAAATTTGATTTATTAGAAGGCCATATGGATGCTTTTGTAGAACCTTAATTTTCTTACTTGATTTACTCATATTTTTTCAGTTGCTACCTCCCTGCATGGCACTGATTAATTTCCATCCATCCATTTTCAAACTGCGTTATCCATTGCAGGGTGACAGGGGAGACAGAGCCTATACCAGTTAGGAACAGGCAGAAGGGAGGAAACATCACAGGGAAAACGCAAACACACACACTAGGGTTGATTTTTTTCCAGAAGCTAATTAACCTACTGGTAGAGGTAAGTCTTTTGAGTGTGAGATGAAACTGGAGCACCCAGAAGAAATCCATGCAATAACAGGGAGAACATGCAAACTCCACACAGACAGCACCCCAGGTCTGGAATTGAACCCAGGGCCCCAGCATTGCAAGGCAGCAATGCTGACCACTTCACCATTGTGCTAAGCATGCCTAATTTCCTTGAAGCAAAAAGATACATTATGTTTTGAATGCAGTTGGTGAATGGCTGGTAATCATCTCTTTATACCATATGGTTATTTTCCTTGTTCTTTGTGCTGAAATATCATGATAAGCACTTCCCTAGCCTCAACATCTGACTACGTTTGTTGAAAAAGCATAGAAGCACTTGAGTAGGCAGCTAGCTGTTTTTAGTTTATAAACATGCTCAATTAACTTGCTTTTCCTTACATGCCTCACTAGATGAGACCTACTGCCTTAATGACATAATGGTAGTCAAGGACAGACAAGAAACCTCTTTAGTCCATTAATATATTAGATTACAATGGTGCACCTGTGAAAAAGCATGTGTTCCTGTTTTTGCTCACGTCTAAAAGAAAAAAGACAAAATCAGATAAACAATTTATGGCTAAACTCCTTCTTATCTTGTGCCACACGAACTTAGCTGATGAACTAGAAAACCATTTGCTCTGGACCTCTAATACTATACCTTGGGATGTTGAAATACACTTTCATAGACTCTCTTTATAGGCAATGTCTCTGTCAGCTGATACTAAACAGAACATTTTGACAGAGAAAATATAACCATAATTCAGATGAGTCTTCTTAAAGAGTTGATTTTAAAATGGCCTGCTTAGAGTTTAGAAAATAACACTGTGATCCATATGTGTTTCTCTGTAAATTAGGCTTAGTCCCAGATTTAAAAATATATAATACATGTTCATTTGATTAGCTACGAATCACTGGCTATTTACTTGCTATTTAAGGGGCTTTGAATTCTGGTCACAAACTTACACAGAATGTTTATGATTTCAGAACGGGGGACTTCTTGATGATTAAAAATGCATTGTTAAAACACCTTTATTCAAGATTTTAAACATTAGAATAACCTTGATTTGTTACAAGTAATCTGGATTGATAACATACAAACCCAGACACATTGTCAAAGATCATCCATTTAAAAAACAGCTAAAGTTGGATCTGTTGGCTTGCAATTATTTATAATTTTCAAGGTTTTATTGTCATTATATATTTTATTTAGCTTTTGGCAGTTTACTGGGTCTCCTTATAACCCCTTTTGACTTCTCTGCTGCTCCTCCGCTGCCAAACTATACCTCGTGTAATGAACTGCTTACAGAACCCTGAAAATGGGGTAGTGCGGTGGCTCTGTGGCTAAAGATCTGCACCTGTGGCTAAGCGAGGCCCTTAACCCTAACTGCTCCAGGGCTGACCCCAAGCCCATCCTGATCGATCCTAGGCCTACCCAATCAGTCCAAAGTAATTTAATTTACTTTTTTCCCTTGTTTGCGTTACATGATTTGCTTTTTAATGGTACGTGTTTGTTTGTTTTTTCATCGTATGTGATTTGCTATTGGCTCGCTGTATCGTTTTTGACCAATAAGAAAACTATGTAAATGTCGTGGGGCGGTGCATGCGTTGCCGTAGCCCAATGGGCTGTCGTTGTCGTCAGACGCTCTTAGAGCTATCTAGCGCTAGGTTTTTGGTTCCTCAGCCAACATGGCAAAACAAATGCATATTTCTACGTTTTTCAAAAAGCCGCCTGTAGGTGGCCAGACCAGTCCCGAAACAAATAAGACACATGAGATGCTACAGGCATCTTGGGTTTTAAGGAGCACAGCCTGGCTCCCCGAATACAAGTGTTTCTGGACCGCAAGGGGCAGTGCACGCGTTTGCTTGTAGCAGCTCGATACATGCTCGACCTGTAGGAGTTCAGCACGAAGATGTTCTAAAATTTCTCCTGTAAACAAATGACAAGTTTTGGAATGCATGAATAACATTAAGAT